GTTTAAAAATAATAAAATTTTAAACTGATGTGTAGATCACTTTTGATTCAGTATTTGAGGCTGCAAATGTCATCTTTTTTTTCTTGTTATGGCAGAGTAAGGGACGGGGTTGTGACTGATGTGTGTGCTTTGCAAACAGGCAATGATGACGTGTCATGAGGAGATAAAAATGTCTGGTTTAACTAGGTTAGTGTTCCTTCCAATTAAATATCTGCAAAACAGCTGAATGAAATGCAGTCAAAGTGTAAAGCGTCTTTGCTTGAAAGAGGTGGAATGGGGACGGGAGTGGAAATAATTCAGACGTACAGTAAAATATTTTTTTTACTCCAAAACTCCATAAACTGCATTCAAACGAAAACCTGGACAGTGTCCTGCTGGCACGAGCCACAGCAAACTGGGGGGAAAGCCACATGTGGCTTGAGAGCCACGCGTTGACGACCCCTGATCTGGTTTGAGTCGTATGTTGTATGTCAGGTATGCAAGCTGTTTTTGCACAGTTCTAAGTAATATTTCTTACACATGTCAAAAGATTCCCACCTGAGCTGGGGATCTTTGTGGCTCCTCCAAAGTCTTGAAATACTGTTTATTATTTGGATGCTGTTATGAAATATATCTGCTCTAAACTACTCAACAACCTTATTCCTAACCTGTCTGTTGTTTTCCTTGTACTTCAAGCTGCTGCCTGTCAAATGTAATTATTTACCGGTAACAGACTTTTAAGACCTTTGAAAAACAAAGCATTTATGCTACAAGTGACATCTGCTCACTAATTTGATTACTTCTAAGTTAAATTGGGTTTACTGGAATTTACGTAGAGTTGTCGGAGTAAAAGAGTTCTGATTTATTTAAAAAAATGTTGTCCTCTTTTCATTTAACTTTACAAATTAATAAACTATTAATTGCCAATATATTACATTTAAAGCAAATATTATACAACTACAGGCTGACTTTGTGTGTGTTTAGGGGGGATGTCCAATTGTGTGTGCTGATATGTTTCTATGTTGTCTCAAACAGGTCAATGAAGAGCAGGTGCAACAGATGGAGACAGAGAATAGCTTCATCATCCGCTGGAATGAAAAAAAGGACACAGCGGTAAGTCGACCCACACAACCCTTATAGAAATGCATGTTCAAGAGCGTCTAGTGTGTACGTGTGTGTAGCTTTGTGTGCACATAGTTCTGTCTGCATGCAACAGGGGACTCAGATGTAGGATTCGTCGCTCTCTTGTTGTTTTTTCTAGCAGAAATGAGCAGGGGATGCAAAGGGAACAGAAGCCGGGATTTTGTTCTCGTTGACCTTTACAGCAGGTACTTTACGCCTGAATGATGGGAAAAAAAAGTCTCTTGGTTTAAATAAGTTAGTGGAAAATTAAATCCCGTGGTGCCGCTGAAATACGAATGGAGCTGTTTATGAAGGTTTTTCTGCCCCCACAATCTTCTCTCAAACCTGTCCTTTCTGCTTCATAGCACGTCGGGCCTGAGGGTAACTCATAGGAAAGCTTGTGCAGGTAACAACTGCACAGACTAAGATGGGTGTTCAGGTTTTTGTGTTGAAATAATACATTTTAAAATGGGAATGTTATTTTTCATCTTGATATTTCAAGTTATTTAGATTTCTGGAAAAATAAAGGTTGTGTCATTTATATTACATTAAGTTAATGCAGTTTTGTGCCTATATCTTGGGGATAAAATTGCATGCTGCAGAGATACTCTGACTAATTTATTGGAACATTAATCATCTTACTTTTCTTTTCCTTTGTCACTTGCTTTTAGGTGTTATTTCTGTTGGTGTTGAGGTGCCCTTGTTTGTTGTCTAAAAGCTGAACACAGGGTTCCCTCATATTTTGGACAATTCTGTTTTTTAATACCAGTCGCTATCAGTGTTTCAGACCTTAGATAAGATGCATGATCCCATCGGCATATAGGATTTTCTTTAATCCTCTTTTATCATCCTCACCTGCATGACTGCACTCAGCCACAGTAAGCTTTAACAAGTCAGAATTATACCCTGTAACTTGGACATGCAAACTTACAGATAATAAAACCTGGAAAAAGAATTCTAAACAAACTCTTTAGAGTGAAACAAATATTGAAATAGAATATTTGTTTTATTATCTTAGAGTTTAGCAAAGTTATTTACTATAACCATAGTAAAAGACTACATCACAATCTCTCGAATGCTGGATGCTCACCTTTTTTTTTATTTGACTTGTTGGTGCCTGACAATTTATGCAGTGTTGTATTTTCATAGACATTTTTCCTCGTTATGCTAAATATGTGATGCCAGTTTTTTAAATCACAAGAAATAAACCCATTTAATGTAACAGTTAAAAGTTACACCGTTAATAAACGAAATTTTACAGCATTTCTCGAAATCTCTTAACAGAAGGGCAGGTTTCATATTTATAATTATTTTATCTTTAGGAGACAAAACTTCATCAAAGTGGACTTTTAGGGCATTTTATAAAACATAAAACCTCATAATGACTCCAGTTAAATTTACAATAAAAGATGAAGCCAAATTCTACTTTTTTATTGTTGGTAGCAGGGAAAGAAAATCGTAAAGCTGTGAAAATCAGTGATTAAAAAAACAACTGAAATTCCGTTTAATGTGAAAGCTTAAATAGGCTTCAGACATACATGGAAAAGCATGCATAATTACTGCAAGTCCAACCTTTATAAATCTGTGGGTGGCAAATTACATTTTCATAAACTTTTATCATGTGAGAGTGGTTAGGAGATGTGTTGCAGTAAAATGGAAGAATTCAGAAAAATGCATTTGACTATATGGCTCTTACAGTGTTCTTGAAAATGTTTTATGCAATATTTCCATCATTTTCTAGACCTAATTAGCCGAGGATATGCGCACAAAAAAACTAGAACTTTGACTTATAATCTGCTTTCAATGTACAGACATTCTATATTTAAATCTCGTCTTTATGGCTTTTAAGTGTTCATCAGAAAAACAGCCTTGAGATAGAAATTTATATCCGTGGTGTTTCCAGTCCAATATGTTCATTTTACAATATAAACAACAAATGTTTCAATTTAATTTCCTGCAGTCATTTATAAAGGAAGGAAGGAAGGAAGGAAGGAAGGAAGGAAGGAAGGAAGGAAGGAAGGAAGGAAGGAGGACAGAAAGAAGGCATTGAATCTATAAATATTTCTCTAAACTCTTAAGCCTTTACTGAACCAATATAACATAATTGTTTCACTCCTACTAAAATTATCTAACGGTTCCTCCTTCACATTTCTTGTTTTGCACACCATACGTTTTCCTCCCTCATACAATGTGGTGAGTGCACATGCTAACAGTGCTTTTGTCTTAACTTCAGATCCTACTTGGCAAACATTTTTTTATAGTTTCTCCTCATAAAAAAAGATACAAAAATCAACAGTGGAATAAAATAACTTTTACCTTTGGTTTAATTACCTCTTCATCTTGTTTTCATTTATTGTTATTTTAGCAATAGAGAAATACTGAAGCTGACAGTCAGCAGCAGGATTAAATATTAATATAGGAAAACATGAATGTATTTGAAGAAGCAGTTTTTTTTAGATATGGATGTGTCCTTTTTTTTCCTTTTTGATTACTTAAGGCACATTGAAGGGTAAACTAGCTCTAAGTAAAATGTATTTGGCAAATAAAACATGTTTTTTCCATTTTTTTTTTTTTTTTGTCAGCAGAAATGATTTTGGCCTTTTGAACTCACTAATGGGTGCCATTATTGCTAGTTTTCTTATTATTTAATCTTGAACACTGAACTTAATAGAAGCAAAAGGGGCAACAATATTCCATATTTTAGATATCCTTACATTTTGGAGCACATATGATAAACTTTTACAGTAATTTTGGAAGGCATTCATAGTTTACCACTTTTCAATTAGTATGGGAAAGCTTGAGTCCCAAATCCTTACAAAAAAGGCTATACTGTAAGAGCTTTTCCAGAGCGGTGAATGTCTATAACCTGATTTCAAATCCTTTCTTTCATTTTTTCGGTGCTTAATGGTGTGCTCCTTTTTAAAATACTATAGCGTACTACCTGAAAAAGATTGGTCTGTTGAATCATGTTATCAGTTTGCCTTTGTCTGGAATAGCAATTCTTTGATGTCCGGAAAGATTTAAGAGAGACAAAAGGGCTAAAAGGAAGAAGAAATCTATGAGGGAGCAACTATATTTTCACTGCTCCATATTCTGCAGGTGAAGGTCCCGAAGGTCCTTATATTAAAGGCAGGGATTGGCAGAGATGCATCCTTGAAAGGACAAAATAGCTAGGTGTACATTGGGGAGTAGGTGAATCAGTGATATAATGAGGTGCAGGCAGTGTCTTGCCTTTTAAGCTGGTACTGACTCTAAAATCAATACCCTACATTTACAACCAGCACGGGCATGGTTTTAATTAACTACAAAAATGCCTTGATTCAATCTAATTTTCCTCACTTGCAGCTCCACAGATTCAGCAGCCTCAAAGAGATCTCTCTGCCTTCACACAAAAGTGAATAGCAGGAGGGAGAAAGAACAGAGCGTAACAACGTGGCTCCATATCCGCATGTGACATTTTCACAATTACAGCTTTTTGCTCCATTGGTTTAAATGACTGTAATTTCTGAGTCATTTTAGGGCCATAAGAGTCAGAAGGGGGCCTATCCCTCTTATTGTAAGACAGCTCAAGTCATTAATGGACCTCGCTTCACCTGCCCATTGAAATGACAAAGGGAATGTTACCTTAACTTCAAGGTAGCTAAAGAAAAAGGAATCCCTTCATGCTCACTTAGTTTTCCATTTTCTGAAAAGGGTAAGAAAAAGAACCAGTAAGTCATCAGAACCTTGGAAATTTAGAATCATTTTACTAAATATAACTTAATTAAAGATATGACTGTATTTGACAAAACCTTAGGATCTTTAAAGAAATTTATAATGTTCCTTTTAGTAATTGCAGTTCCAAACTATTAATTTCAACCTCATATCTGTCAACTGTTATAAGTAAAAATTTCACCTCTGTTATTGAAAACTGAAAATTAGTTTAATTTATAACAGAAGTTTGGTCAAATGTTTCAAGAAAGAACACAGTGCATGATTCGGGGTTTCAAATGAATTGCTATCCCATCCCTGATCCAGTGAAAGGTATAGGTGAACTAAGCTTGAGCCTGGGCCCCCCAAACATGCAGGGACCAACCAGAAGTTCTTGAATCTTAAGGTAGACAATTGGTCAAAAATATTATTTATTGAGAACAATACTACTTTTCACTGCAAAAATGATCAAGAAATTAGTCAACATTTCTTAGATTAAGTGTATTTACCTCTGATTTAAGTAGGTAAATAAGGTGATCTGCCAATGGAATTTGACATTTTACTCTTGAAATAAGATAATTGGATAATATTTGCTTTTTTAAAATGGAAATTGTCTTGTTCCATTGGCAAAGTGTCTCACTTACCTAATCAATTCATGGAAAAATGCACTTATTTTAAGAAAAAAATTTGTTACTTAGATTAACATTTTTTTTCAGTGTTGAATTAGAGCTGGTTGATATGACTTCAAATCAATATGATAAATAAACGCACAATAAATGTTCTGGCTCCTTTATCAGAAATAAAGGCATGTGCAGGAAAAGCAACTTATCTATTTATTAGATTAGATTAACATCTTGTACCCATTCAGGTTTAAACATTCAAATATGTCTCATTGAGCAGGAGAAAATGTTACCTCTCTTGCAAACATTTCTTAATGGAGCCTTTTGTACATCTTTGAATTCAACTGCATTGCTGTGCTGTAGGTGGTTGGGGTTGATTGTGTTACTTTGGGTAGTCCCAACAGTTTTCAGACAAAATGCAAAGTTTGTGTTCGATATCCTTCTTTTTCCCTTGGTTTGTTTATAAATACACTTCAATAAAGTATAACCAATTATGTGCGTTTCCCTTTAAGCTTAGCCATGCAAACTTGCCCCCCTGCCCCAGATTCTTTTAAATCTGTATTAAAAACTTGGGCGACAGTGGTGTTGGATGCAGTGGTTCGCCCTGCAACCGAAGGGTTGTTGGTTCAGTGGTAATGTTCTCTGCGGAGCAATACAGTAAGTGAAATTTCACCACTAGGTGGGCTCAACCGCCCACCTAGTGTCTGTAGACCTCAAGAAGAAAGGACACCTCTATTACCTCAAATCCAGCTGCAAATCCACTCCCTTTTTTACCTGTCGCTCATTTGTGCATATTTGCAAAGAATAAATATGCAGTGAAACAGCAACACCTTTAATTGAAAGATGTCTTGTGAAGAAGTGAGTCCCTCATAACTTTATCATTCTGTCAGAAAAAGAAGTTTATCTTGGCAAGTGATCATCTTCAGGTTAACGTTTCAATCCACTGGACTTTCCCTCTGCCATTTTGCTCCTACCTGACACTGCTCTGATGGTGTCATTTTTGGTGTCTTTTTTTCAAATTTAAAATTTTCATCCGAAATATTCCGCCCAGCTTATTCATAGTCTTTTGCCAAAGGACACTACAGTGATTTGTTATTATTATTTGTCAAATGGTAAAAAGGCCTTTTCTTTCAAGATTTGTTTCCAGTTTGTCACTGAAAATATTTTCCTAACTTTAAACCTTTGTCTACCTATCTGATGTTCTCAACATGCTCCTTTTGCTCTGGGCGCATCAGGACACAGTATTTTCTGACTGAACTGGAGCTGCTTGTGGTTGCATTAGCATTCACATTGTTTTAACTCCTTTAACAGTTTGAACATGCTATAATTTGCTAGAATACCTTTAATAGAATAACAATTTTCATAAATTACATTATGCTTCTTTTTACTTTTATGAGTTTTGTTTCTTCCTGAGGGTCCTCTTAGACCACAGAGCCCATTCTGGCACTTAACCTTCCTCTCTACAAATACTAAGAGTCTTTTCTAATGCATACTATAAATCATTGCTAAAGTAGCACACAAAGACTGTTCAGGTGTGCCCTCGAAATCTTTTTTTTTTAAACTTGCTAACTAAAAATCTACTTATGTTAAGTATTTTATTTGTGTTAGAAGTCAGAGGCACCGGTTTGTTCTTATATTTATACGTGTTTCCATCTCACATATGGTCTCTTTATTTTGTGAGGTTATGCTTTTTATTGACACTACATTTTATTTTACTGCTATGGCAAACAAACATCTTGGGTCTCCACAATTACTTGAAACTTTTATTTCTCACTGTTCTCTGTTACGATATTTTAGCACTGTTGAGATGATATTGGGTAAAAACAGACAAATTGACAAAACATATATATATATTTATTTTTACCTTGTTCCTCTACAGTTCTGTCCAGCGGGGGATTTGATCTTCGAGGTGTACCTTGAAAGGCGAGAGCCAGAGCAATGCTGTTTAATAAAGGTGAGTGTGTGTGTCTTATGCATAGGCTGTTGCTTTCAGAATGCCCTGAAGTAAAAAGGGGGAAAAGTAAAAGTGCAAGAGGAGATGGAGGTTGTTAAGGGTGAAAAGGGTGGGTTAAACAAGAAATGGAGGTTCATAGAACAAGGCTGAGACATCGGTGGTTTAACCTGGTGGGATTACCGCCACTGAAACGAATCAGACACAAACTAATCAAATAAATCTGTTTAAATTGTTCAAGTAATTGCATTTTACAAGTGGTGCCGGCAGCTGAAGGTCACAGACTCCTGTTCTAAGTTTGCTGCAAACCTTAAGAGGGTTGAGGTTCAGATAAAAGCAGCAGGAAAAGGTGTGTTGGCTGTTTTCTTACTGTTCAGACAGGTATATTTTTACCCTAGAATGTCATTTGCAATGAATAACTTTGCATAAAACAATGTGTTTTTAGCATATTTTCTCTTTGTGACAATTTATTTTTCTCCCCTGTGATAGCTTTCTCCAAGTATGCGGTCTTCAGAACTTGCAGAAGCTGCGCTGAGTATGAGAAATTGCACATTTAAGGCAGAAGACATGTGGACCACCTTTGAAGTTATCGAAAATGGAGAACTAGGTAAAAAGATGTAATTCCTGCCTTTTAAAATGAATTTGATACAAACAGTGATAGAAGCACTTTTTCTGCTTAAATAGATTTTTGTCAAATTTTTTTGTTTCTTTCAGTTATGGTAAGTAAAAAGGATCTAGAAAGAGGAGCAAAAAACCTATTTGGCTTAATGAAGGATTATGTTCATTTGCTGAAATAATAAAAACCCACTGCCGATCAAAAAGAACAAAAAGGAAATTCAATTGGAGCAGTAGAATCAAACTCAGATTAATGATAGTGTAATCCAAATTAATTTAATTCATCAATACAAGAATACAATTCCATTACATATATTTAACTAACACCAAATTATGTATCCAAACCACCCTTAACTATAAACATAGTAGAATAAAAGAAAAAACAAAAAACATTTCAGCACCTGTCTCAAAAATTATTTTCTATTGTTCTTTATTATCCACTTGGATTTATCTGATTCAAAACAATGTTAATGTTAGGCAACCAACCTAACCAAATATCAAGGTAGTTTCATTTTTTTTTATTTTAAACAAAAATAAAAATGATTAAATTCAACTTGAACCTATAGCTGCATGGAATTTTTCTAAAAAAATAAAGTTTGCTGTTCCAATTCCGGTGCTTTATGTCCAGTTGAAAGATTTCAAGGCCGAGGACAAATGAGACATTGACATCCATCAGTCTGAAAAGAATTACAGTTATTTCTAAAGCCATGTTTTCTCTATTCGTGAAGAAAACATGGGACAAATCTTCCCAGGAATGAAAAACCAAATTTTCCCAGATATTTAAACTTCTAAAGCATTTTTCTTTCAGTCAGTGTCTGTATTGAGGACTCCTTAATCAGAAAGAAACTGGGAAAACGTCATCCATAGGAGAGTAACAAGGCCAATACCCTGATGACCCAAGAAGAACAAATTTAATAAAAAAAAAAGGGGGAAATATATGGTCATTTTATGTCCAGATATAAATCTGATTGGAGTTTGAATTAGATACCCAATCATATCTTACTTAAACCAATTCTGCTCTTCCCTAAAGGTGTAAAGGATTAATTAATTAATTTCAGATTACCAAATTTTGTTGAAAGTAGAAATCAGTGAAATTGTAGATTAAACAAAACCAGTAATTAAGGCTTATTTCTATTTTTTAAAATGTAATGATTAGATAACTGAATTTTGTATTAGGTCATATTCATATAATTTTAAAATGTATCTGATCAGAAAATGTTTCATGTTTATAAACACCAGTCTTTTTACATTCCACTGAATACGTAGGTTTGTGTCACGTCTCTTCAAATTTGTCTCATCAATCAGCATCAGCTCTTGCAATTGCTTTTCAGATTAACACCTGAAAAATGTTCGCACTGTACTCTTATAATAGAGTGTTCATTCACAGCTTTCTTTTCCGATAGCCCTCTTTGCTCTTTGCAGCTAGAATATAATTACTAGAACACTTTCATGATTAATTTTGTCAGTTCCTGCTGTTTTCTCGCCCGAAACCCTGCATGAACTTTTCCTTTCTTTTGTTTCGTTCTGAAACCTGGGCCAAAGAATTTTAGTCAATGCCAAAACATGTTGTCAGTGACAGCAGGCTTGCCTCCTGCCTTATATTATTTTTAATATGAGGCAGCCTTGATTTATTAACTGTTATTTAAAACTTTTGAAGTTTAAAACGTCATAGCTTTAGTTAGAATGTATAAACATGGTTGACTTGTAATAATAAGTTAACAATGATTTTATTGTCATACCTTACTGCTGGGTGATGTCAGAGATGTAGTATACATTGAATACAGAAAGAAGAACTGCATACTTAGATTTATCGAAAAATTAAGAAAATTTAGCAATCTCTGCATGCATCGTTTAACATTAAAAAGGAATTGGGAAAAAAAGGGGAACATTAAGTAATTGAATATGTTTCAGGGTTTTTTTAGGACAAGTGATGTTATGAAGTCTTAACAGCTGCTTGGCGGAGGGATCCGCAATAACAGTCCTTTGTCAACATAACGTGCACTTAAGGAGCTCTCCAATTCTGCACCACATTCATGAATGTTGTGGAAGATTTTGTTGAACACTATGGTAAATACGGAAGAGTCCTTCCGTCTCCCACTGCCTGCACCGGGTTGAGGGCATCCTAAGACAAAGCTGGCCTTTTGGTTAAGCTTATTGAACTCCCTCCCCTCAGCTGCGCACAAGCAGCTGCTACAATGAAACTACATCATAAAATAGGACTAAGTCCATTGTGGATGTAAAAGTCTTTAGCAACACCCATGGAAGGAAATGAGGTAACTGAAAGTGGGTGAAAACCATTAACTAAAACGATGTTTAATGACGTCACAGTTCAGTATGGATTTAATGTTTTAGAACCAAAGTTAATGTTGAATTTAAAATGAGATGTAATATGTTTTAAAACTTATTCAAAACAGTTGGGATGTGTTAGACCAATTCACTACACGAATCAAACACCCAACCTGCAATGGATCATCCTGCATGACATCAAGTCCTGACTCTGCCCAAATTATGGTTCTGGCTTGGGTTTAGGCATAAAATCTTAGACTTGGACAACTTTTATTGTCATTTTGTATACATAGAGTTTTCCTTTAGTACAGCTTTTCATACAGTAAATGAACATTTCCATTCCATAAAGTGCAGCAGTGATGAAATGTAAACATTGTGGGAGAAAAAAACATGGTGAAAAAAACATGGTGGAAAAAACGCATTAATATATTTGGTGCAAATATGTAGTATTTTTGGTTTGTTGTTATCAGTGTTATCAGCAGTCGGATGGCGGTGGGGAAGAAACTGTTGCAGAATCTGTTGTGCCTACATCAAATGTTGCAATGCCTCTTCCCAGGGGGCAGCAGGGAGAAAAGTTCGTGGTGGTGGTGTAAGGGGTAATGGATGATGTTACGGGCATGGGACACGCAGTGCTGGGATGAAATGTCTTTCTATGGAGGGAAGAGGACCATCAATAATCTTCTCTGCTGTTCTCACCACTGTTCTCACCTTCTTCCAGTCTGAGGCGCTGCAGCCTCCACAACACACAGTGAGACAGCTGGTCAGAACGCTCTCTATGGTGCATCTGTAGAAGGTCATGTGGATGGGTGGGGGCAGGTGGGCTCGCCTCATGCTCCTCAGGAAGTAAAAGCGCTTTTGTGCCCTTTTGACTAGTGAGAAAATCTGTGCACATTACTGCAAAACTAATTGAAAAAGAAAAGATGCAAATAGCTTGGTTCAGTGCAGTCTCCTGTAACACTGGTAGGGCTGGGTATTGTTCAAAAATTTCCGGTTCCGGTACCAATACCGATACCTTCACTTCGATACCGGTTCCTGAACGATACTTTTTTCGATACCAGTTTTATAATATCAATTCGAAGAAAAAGAAAATTACACAACATAAAAAAGTACAAATCTTGAGTTTTATTTTAAGCTCTGATTTTTCCATTTACATTTTTCCTCTTACATAAAAAAAAAATGTCAGTGTCTAATATTCACTGTTACATTGTGAGGACCTTTTTACTTAGCAGTTTTCCTTTAGAAAAATTACCATGTCTGACAAACAAGCCCGTTGAATGGGATCCTACTGACAGCGCACCGCTGGTATGTGGGGGTCTGAGCGGCTCTCACAGAAATATTGGAAGGCAGGATGAACTGACTGCACTGATTAAGTTTTCAGGTGGATTGTCCCACTTAAAAACATAATAAAACTACTTTATTCCCACTGATCACAGCAAATATAGATGCAAGGCAAATAAAGGATAGAGTAGCTCCGCCCAACGCGCGTCAGACACACTTTTCGACCGCACAGCCAGAGCAGCAAAGCTGCTTCAGCTGCGCGTCAGAAGCTAGTACAAGCAGCAAAAAGGAAGCAGCAGACGTGATTTTGCTGCTCCTGCTGCCTCCAGTTTGAAAGCAGCATGATTCACTCCGCTCTGGCTTTGCTCTGCCCACGGGCTGCTGAGAGGAGGATGGTCGCGCCGGCTGCGGTCCGCTCTTCTTGCAGCCAAACACCGAGCAACTTTCTGCTCTTAAATTGTTTCCGTGCACGATGTATTGCATTGCGCACTATTGGCATCAGTCTTAATAATGAGAAGCCACACTTTTGACCTGGGGGGCATTTTAAAGGGGTTCCATGATGCTCGCAACCAGTTCACAACAGATACACATGAACCCTGGCTGTAGGCGTGACCACCTGTGTATTTTTCCTGGATGACGCAATCACGTTAAGTGTTACAGCCAATCACCGAAACTTGGTACCGAAAGACGAGGCATGTTTAGATACTCTGTAGAACCGAAGCATTTCGGTCGGTACCATAAAAGAACCGAAGTTCGGTACCCAGCCTTAAACACTGGGCAGGCAGAAAGCGGATGATCCAAAAAAATAACTAACCAGGGGGTGAAGAGGGTTAAAAAGCAACCTCTTAGGGATCTTCAATAGATGTGAGTCACCCATCTGTAGCTGCTGAGGTCAATAAGGTGTGTTTTCTTAGCAACTGATATCTCACAGGTGGTTTTCCACAGCTGTGGTACTTTCCCTAGGTTCAGACTGATGAATTTAAGTAGTTGTCTCTCTGGTAGTTGTCAGAGAGAAAGGGTATAGCAGCAATTGAGACTGGGCTCTCCTTACTGTGCGTCTCGCTAACGTTTCTTTGTGTACAACTGGTTTATATAGAAACTAGAGATTAACCAGGTTAGAATCGAAGCCCCCCAACGTATGGAAAGGTAATAAGCTAAGAGTTTGTATTGTCTTCACTATGGCAGGTAATACTCTGGGTCAAGGTTGGGGGAGTGGAGGACAGGTAAAGATCATTTTAAATATCTGTAGATCAGAGGATGCTGTGTATGGGACTTTGTTGGTGACTGTGTTGATGACTTTTTAATTTTCTGAAGCATAAGAGAGGAGGGTGCATATATAGACCATGTACATGTATAAAGACCTGCCATAGGTAATACAGCCTTAGGCTAACAGGTAGCAATTTTAATGGCCTTACTATCGAGAATCCCTTTAAATGCACCAAAATGCAGTCTAAAGTAAATTTAAACTGTGAATGGCCTTAACTGTGTTTCCATCCATCCATTCTTCCATCCATGCATGCATCCATCCATGATGTACTGCATGCATTTTCTCTGGATAAATCACAGCCTGTTATAATTTTTTTTTTTATGTTTAAAAGTAATGAATTCAGGCTCCATCAATTAAAACCCTTGCTTACCTAATAAGGTGGTATAAACTTTCTCCTGTGGTCTGCTTTGTAACCAATTAGTGTCAATTTCCATTTTTGCTTGGCATTTTGTTGCAGGGCTCATGCAAAGAACAGACCACCATTAGTTGGCCTTGCGAATAGGAGACCACGCTATCTTAGATCATGCTATCTCTCTAATGAACCGGTGTCTGCGAATGTGGCGGCACACAGAAATTATCCGAGCACCATTGGTCTGATTATATGCGCATTAATTAATCATCAGTGTCTTGATCTGCCATAGATTAACTTCATCTTTCCTGCATGATCGACCTAGAGAGCTGACCCACCTCATCACACATTAATAGGCAATGACAGCTCCTTGTGCTTCACACTTAGCCATTTGATCATAGAAGAGAATCAGGGAACCGGGAAAGTCAGATTTGTCGCAAAGCTGCTTAGCTCAGCCATCCCCCGTGCGCTTTTCATCAGTTCACTCGGAGTTTACACCTTGCTCATATGCTTATTTTCCCTCTCGCAAAGTTCCAGAGGACATGCCGTCCTCTTCTAACAGCTAAGGTGTGCTGAACACAAAATTTATTTATTTATTTATTTTTATATTTGCTGACAGTTTCAAATATATTTCAAGGAAAATCTGCTCCTCTAAGGTAGAGTAAACATTAAAGCTTTTATGAAGGCTGCAATGTGACAGGTTCTGCTCGTAAAGCCACAAAGAGGAAAGCGGCAGTGTATTAATTACAGTAGTCATCTTTGTGAATAGCTTCAGATAAACAAAGTTAACGAGAACAATGGAAAGGAAAAAAAAGGGGGTAAGCTAATATTTGTTGGGAAAAGAGGAACTAATTCTGTGGCCTGGGTCTGTAGAGATTCCAGCTCTAAGATAAGCTCTGTGTTATTAATAAGTTATGCCACTGTGACTCTTCTTACCTCCTTTGGTTATGAAAAACATGGGGGTGTAGAAATGGAAGCATCAGAGCAGAGGAGGTAGTACACAAATTATCTGCTTTTTTTGGCTGACAGCATGCACCCTGTTCGCCAATTAGGATGAGATAATAGGTCTATTTTTCACATGAGTGTGTTTTTATAATCAGCTCCTGATATGCTGTAGATAATTTAAACTGCTCTTTAATGACAATAGGAGCAACAACAAGATCATAATGTTGTTATTTGGTTTACATGCATTCATCTTGGGTGTGGATGGGTGCCATGCATGTCGAATTGAGGCAAGGCCAGAAAATAAAATGGTTTTATTGTTGTTTTTTGATCTTTTGCATTGCTTCACGCATTTACAGTATCTTTTCAATTGCTGATTTTACCAATAACGCAAGACCTGTTATTTTCTTTTGACAGAGCGACCGCTGCACCACAAAGAAAATATTCTTGAACAAGTGTTGGAGTGGAGTGCCTTGGACTGCCCAAGTTCAGCTTTTCTTGTTTTAAAGAAATTTGCAGGGGCCAAAAGAATGGCCGGAGGAAAAGGTAAAGAATAATGTCAGGAAGGTCCTGTCAATTGAACTTCATGCAATAAAGATGATTTATTTAATACTCATTCAGGCATTACTTATAAATGTTTCTTATTGGTAATAATAATTAACAAAATTAATCCAAAGAATATTGCAATTTTTTACATTTATTTATTTATTTATTTTTACATTTGATGAATGGATAGTAAAGTAATCTACAATCTATTTCCAACCAATGAATACACTCTGGAAATGTGTTACTTATTCAGATCAACTGCTATCTTGAATAAAGGTAAAATGTATGTATGCAAATATTCAATTATAAATTATTACTATTAGTATGTAATAATGAAATACAACTTTATATTTATCTAAAGCAATGCTACAGTAGCAGCCATTAAAAACGGTCCCTTACCAGTCAAACACCAGCCGAATGGCAGCCCACTTCCCTGCAACTCCCAGCAAAATCCCCTTCATGTACCCAACATTTTCTTTTATATTGACTGCCCCCTTTCACTGACTTAAAGGACACAACACTTCTCCTTAGATCTTAATGTCCATAAATCATGACAGAATATTTTAGTACAAACATTTATGTTTAAAAAGGAATTATAGGGGACCAGCCAAGGGCCCGTCAAGGAAAGTGGGGACATTTTGAATGGCTACTGCTGTAAAAGGGTGAATTTTAGCCAAAAGTTATGAAGCAATTGTGGAAATACTTTCTTTAAAATAGCAACTACAAAAATACAAGTCATACATGAATGTAGATAAAAGTAGAAGAAAAGCAATATGAAAAGCAGTGCGAATTTTTTTCAAAAATTACCCAAGGGTCCATTTGAAAGGAGGTTCCCATTACAGTTTGGGGCTGCATGCCAAATTTAGTAAGGAAAATTCTAATTCCGCATCTCGATGCACCATCTCTACTAAAACATGGGGTTAGGAACATTATAGTTTGGGTGTAGATTTAATCGGTCTTTACACTACAAAAAATGGGAACCTAAGTAAGTATTTTTTCTTAAAATAAGAGCATTTTTTTCTTGAATTGAGCATGAGAGACTTTGGAATAAGATTTACATTTAAAATAAGAAAAACAACTGCATTCCCCTATTTCAAGTCCATAATATCTAATTATCTTATTTTAAAGGTGTGAAGCCCATTCCATTGTCAGGTCATCTTATTTTCCTACTCAAATAAAGCATAAATACAGTTATTTTAAGACATTTGTGCTCATTTTCCGAAAGTTTTTGCAGTGTAGATATGACCACAGATAGGATCGTCCATCTTGGAATAGAACCTCTAAATGGTTGCAAAAACTGCAACCGCAAATCTTCAGCAAGAGCAATAATGGAATAATTTTTCCCAAAGCAAAGGCTTGACAATTTATATTTACTTAGTTCTTTATTAAATCTGACTTCTTGTAGCAAAGATTTTAGACACTAATTGCCTGATGATGGTAGTGACACATTCAGAAAGACTTGCAAGTGTTATTTCACCAAAGCTTAACACTACAACGTATTGACTTATGGGTCCTTATCACAAATGCAGGAAATTCCTTTCAGATTTTAGTTTGGTGAAAATTTTAAAAACCCTTTATCAATTTCAATCCACTTTACAATTATGCATAAAATCACATAAAATTGAGATTAAAAGTATGAAATTCCAGAGATGTTAATATGTAAGCAATACACTTTAAATCATCAAATTCATTTTTTTTTTTCATGTTATGCAACAATAACTGTTTCAACAGACTCAAGGCAGTTTCTAAAAAGTGACTATCTTAAGTTCAGCGATGGATCCACCAAACTGCTGTCGGGTCACAAATTTCAGGACAAGTACGTTGTGCTTCATTCAGAAAAGCTGCTTCTTTACAGAGATATCAAAGTAAGTTTTTTCTTTTTTTTAAGTTCTGGCTTTATGCACTGTCACATCACCCTAGTAAAGACATTTAACCAATTGGGCTTTTCTTGCTTGCAAATACCAGTCCTTTAGAGGAACAGCGAGGGCTGACATCCTAGGGAAATATAAAAGACAAAAAGGTTTAGAAGCTTCTTAGTGGAAAAACCCCCCCCCCAAAAAAAACAAGAGTTACAGTGGAGCATACATCACTGCACCCTAATAGACCCAAACCCAGCCAGTCTCAGTGACATCCCTTGTATCTTTTTCATATGTCCCTGAGCGTACTCTGCAGCTTTTGGATTTTTAAATTACAGAGAAAAATAAAACACACTGATAGCAGCAGGCTCCATATTTCTGTCTCTCTTTTCTTAAACAAAAAGAAAGAATGCAGAATGTGAGAGAGGGAGAGAGGACCAGCAGGATCAAGTTCCCTGGAGGCCTTTTCTTCTCAGCACATTTCTACAGTTGAAACATGGGATTCGTAAAGGAGTGTGAAGATGTGTTAATAATTGATGGAGGGGCTGCCTGTAGGGTGGGAGGGTGTGTGTGTAGGTAGGAGGCAAAATCGTGCGTGTGTGGGGTTGGGGTGTGAGAGGGGGTCCATGCTTTGCAAGCTTCTCTAAATATAAGGTTGCAAACGAATGTGGCTAATTACTGCATAAACACAAGGTAAATTAGAAGTGTTACTGCAATTTAATTGATATTCCTTGGCCTCTGCAATTATTGCCAGGTCTGTATTTAGTGCAAATTATGCAGGATGAAATGGAAGAGCGGGGTGTGGGTTTTGATGTGTAGGTGTCAGAAGCAAACAAGAACTTTGATTTTTGTTTGCTTTGTTCTCCCTCACTTTGTTCTTTGGAAGTTAGAAGATTGAGGTTGCTAGTAATGATTCAAACTGATTGCTGCCTTTTCTGTGATTCTTATTTGGTTGTTTTAGTTGAGCGTTATATGCTTTTTTTCCCCCAGATTTATATTATTTTTTTGTGCAGGAATATTTATTTTGTGTCTTCTTGTCTGTGCTCTCTCTTTTTTTTTTTATGCAGAACACTAAACCTGAAAAGGAGATTCAGTTGAAGATGGCAAAATGTTACCTTGGCCTGAAGAAAAAGCTCAAACCTCCGACCAAGTAAGTATTAAAATCATTCAATGAATGGCTGAATACACTGCAAAAACGATGTAGAAATAAGTAAAAATGTCTGATGAAAAATGAAGGGTATTTACCCTTAATTTGAGCAGGCAGTAAAGATGATTTACCAGTGGACTTTTTTCTCCTAAAATAGGATAATTAGATTATATAAACTTGAAATAAGGTTATTCATTAGTTTTTTCTTACTTTAAATGTAAATAATCTTGTTCCAATGGCAAAGTATCTTACTTACCTTCTCAATTGAAGAAAAAATGCACTTATGTAAAGAAAAAATTACTTATTTAGATTACATTTTTTGCAGTGTATATCTTTAGATATTTTCTCAGTTGCATCTGTTGTATTGAATGTTGTGTAATGTGAATTGGAGAGGCTGAAATGAAGCTTGAACTATTCTAGGTAGATAATTTTGACATTCACAGAAACTATATCAACATGTAGATTTTGAATAAGGTGCTTCAAGAGAAATTGAAGGTCAGCGATTGGTGGCAGAATGCTTCTTTTAATTGATGTAAAAATAAGCATGTAAAAATTTAGCTTTTTGACAGTGATAAAACAAGTGTTTTAATGGTAAGGTGGCTAATTATAACTTTAATGAAAGCTGTACTGTCATGTTGTTGATGTATTTAGGTGCCGGTCACATTGATTGGTACCATCTGTAAAGGTTAATTATATATTAGACTTAGGGCCTGATCTCAAAAGAGTCAAAATAAAGAGAAGTAAAATGCATGTGCAAAAATAGGGACTTAATTAAAAGGAGCCTTTTCTATACAATAGATTGCAGATCCAAGTTTCTGTTATGTTATTTAGTCTCTGTTTAAACATCGGTTTGAAAAAAGATTGGAGTAACGTCTTTTGAAGTGAAATATCCACTGTCAAAATTAGCATCATCTTTTAGTTGCCTTAGTTCTCACAAAAAAAAGAAACAATGTGTTTACTAAAAACAGAAAATATTGAAACATCTATATCTGGTTAAAAATGGCACAAAGAAAACAAATTGAACCTGTAAGCTTTTGTTTTCTCATGTGGGATTTGATGCTAGTAACAAAGATCAGAAGCGTCTGTAACAAAGCCTGCAAAGGCATGGTTAAACTGTGTGAGGTTCAAAAGAAGCCCTGTGGAACATTTCACAAATAATTAAGAAAATTTGCAGCGTGTCAGTAACGTGAAGGGGAATAAAAGAACATCCAAGCGAGGGAGAGTCCCTCTGAAGTAAATCGGTGTTCAACACTTTGTAAAAGACTTGCAGTCAGTTTAAGGATAACAATTCTTGATGTAAAATGGCAAAGATCTTGAGGGTTTAATCTTCTTTAGAAGACACATCTTTTTAAACAATTCTGAGCTAATTAAAATTCCAGATGTACATACAGTGACGTGAATGAGCGCAGTGAGAGAAAGAGTCTTCATGAGGAGTATTTTCCGAGAAACCAGAACATGATATTTTTTTTTTCCTTCTTAATCCAAAGAATTTAAACTGAATTTAGTCCAAATCAACAGTTTTCAGTATAAATGTGATTGACTGCTGTAAAAGTTTTAGGATTTTAGGCTAAAAGCCTCTTCATGTTGGATGGTATCAACAATATCTCCAATAAAGAACAGAATATGGTTTTCTGTTGCTTAGAAACCAAGCAGTCAGTCTGTTAGACAGACACACGTAGGGACGCTTGGTCTTTATTGAAGTAGAGCATCAACTTCTTTAAAAGTGAAAACAGAGGGATTTTTAATGTCTGAGTGCAAACATGAAATTTTTTATAATCTCTGTGAATACAAAAGAAAAAATATATTTTTTGAAAAAGCAGGTTATTTTTATCAAAGCTATTTGGAAATTCATCATGTCAGTAATAAGTAAGGGGTTTCAGACACAAATAAATCTGTCTACTAAAACACTACACGACTAGAAATAAACTGAAATAATCTGTACAGCACTTTCTTTCTGGTGGTAAAGTGCTCTAAGAATAAGGCTGGATTGGATATTTGAATTTATAGGCTTTTAAATATTTCTTTTGGTTAAGTTACATATATTTATTTAGCTTGGATTTTTAGGGTGGTGACGATGACCGTCAACTAATGTAGTTCTGATTTCATTTGAACACCAACAAAGTCAAGTCTATTATTCTTGAAGTTTTTTGTAGTTTGTTTGTAAGTGCCTAAATATATCTCCTTTTGCACAGCAAAAAATAAAATCTATATAAGTATTTTTTTCTTAGAATAAGTGATTTTTTGTTGAATTAAGGAGGTAAGTGAGACACTTTACAAGACACAAGACAATTTACATTTAAAATTAAAAAAACAATTGCATGTCTTATTTCTAGTGCATATTATCGAATTATTTTATTTTAAGAGTAAAGTACTCGTTCCATCAGTAAATCATCTTATTAACCTACTCAAATTAAAGGTAAATATACTTGATTTAAGACATTTTTACTTATTTCTAGATCATTTTGCAGTGTGAAATCAAAAGTTAACACTGCAAAAACAATCTAGAAATAAGTATACATTTCTGAATTAAATTAAATATATGTATCCTTGATTCCAGTAGGAACATAATAGGATTTGCCAATGGAATTATTTTTTATTCTTACAATAAGATAGATAATGTGCATTAGAAATAAGACAATGCAAATTTTTATTATTTATTTTCAATGCAAATTGGCGAAGTGTCTCACTAATCTTCTTAATTCAAGAAAAAATGCACTTATAAGAAAAAAATTACTTATTTAGATTTTGCAGTGAATGCAGTAACAGTGGGCAGCCTTGAAATGTGTGAATAACTGATCTGCTTTGGTGGAGCTTCCAGTCAGCTGATTAAAAGACATGCTATTATTAGCCTGCAAACTTAGTTGAGGAAGAGTATTCATGAATAATAGTGATGGATTAGTGTGCATACTATGTCTAGCTGCCCAGCAGTGGACAGGAAAAGGTGGGAGATTGACAGTAGTTACTATATGCTTCACGCAGCAAGAGAAAACTTTGGCAACTCTAGTATTCAGTCTATTCTTGCTCTGACTTGAAACCACAAGAATGGCAATCAACACTATTGAAACTCTTTACATTTTGTCAAACCTCTATTCACCAGATAGTGACTGATTCCTACTCACAAGTGCAGAAGTTTAGATACACTTTTTCTCAGCGAGAGGCATCAAATCAGACTTAACCTGGTTTTAGATCCTAAACCATTGCAGCAATAATTCAGTTCATTGTTTTGGTGAATTGCTAAAAATGCTAAAAAATGGCATTCATCTTTTCTTATAATTAATGAAACATACCAAAGCTTCAGCTGTTCTGGTGGATAAATAAGAGGGATTTTTTTTAGGAAGCCATACCCCCATAAATCACATTACTTATTTATTATTCCTCATAATTTTCTTCATGACAGAATTTTCTGAGTCAGGGAAAGTGTGAAAAATGAGTCCAGTGAGTGGTTGTCTAAAGTGCTCCATGGGAAGAAAAACTGGATAAGAGGGAAGGACTGGGAAGCAAAGAGGCACACAAAACGAGAGGATGAAGCAGCGTGGTATCATAAGTGTAATGTTGAGTGGGCTGTGGGAGAGGTATTACGGTGAATAAAGAAATAAAGACAGAGTGCTGAGGAAAATGGAGAGAGTAGTGGTGAGAGGGTGAGGAGAAGCGGCGCTTCAATACCTCATTAGGGAGTGTTCGGTGTGTGAGCGTTGTTGGATCGGCTGCCTTAGCTCACAGGATTTGTGCTGGGGGCTGCAGCCTCTCAATATCTGCCCTTTATTTATTTTTTTGCTTTGTTCTCCCCCTGCTCCTTTGCTCATTTCATTTACAGCTGCGAAGGTTTCAAGAGCACTGGAAAGTGGTCTTTTACATTCAAACTGCCCATGTGTTGATTAAAACACTATGAAACGTAGTAAGGGGCCATTATAACACCACTTCAACAAGCCGTATTATAATGAATACACACTTGATCAGCTTATTAATTAAGGTAAACTTAAAATAACATTACAAACAATATTAGCGATATTTAGGGCTCTAATAATACACTCTTGGGTTCATGAAAACGAGTCAAGCTTTTAACAACAGGCAGGTATTCTTTTTTTTAATGTTTTTTTTTGTCAAGAGAAAAAAGGTTTTAAAAAAGCACAAACTATGTTTCAAATTATATATACCCATTGTAGAACATTATTTTCCAGTATGTACTGTGCACTTTCTATGCTTATCTACCTCTCAGTAAAGCCTTTTTAGTGTTTTTCCATTATTGATATTAATGGTTAATTAATATCAACTTGGAAGGTGGTAAAAGTTTATTGTTTCTGAGTATTTTAGTTTATTGACTACACATGATTAAATACAGTACAGTCCGGACTCGTAAAATGTAACAAAGCTGTTCGCTCTGACACCAAAAGGAATCTATAAATGAGATGCTGCTATTAGCATCTTTGTATAGCCCCAGTGGTCTTTCAATTCAATTCAATTCGGTTCATTTATATAGCACCAATTCCCAACTCATGTCATTTCAAGGCACTTTACAGTACAACAGATCATACAGTCAAATTGATTCAAAGTTTTCTATCTAAGTAAAACCAGTTGATTGCATTGACTCATTGACTCGAATGCAAACCCATCACAATAAGCAAACTTGTAGTGACAGTGGAGAGGGGTTCAAGGAGACAGAAGCAGCGCTCTGAGCCATCTCCAATGTCAGAGGATGAAGAGAGCACATCTAGCCAGTCACAGTCAGAGAAACAGAACTACACTGAAAAACAGGCCGATCTCGAACATCACTACTAACAAATCATTTGTATCTTGAGTGGCACTGTTTATTTTCCTACCAAGTGTCCAAAATGCTGCCTGTTAAATAGTTCAGAATCAAAGGGAATTTATGCAGTGCTTTGGTAACTGTGCAGCAGAGGTCACGGATTAGCAGACCGCGGCCTGGATCTGGACCCACCTGCTGGCTAATCGGGACCCAGCCGGATTTAAAACATTTATAAATTAGTGGAGCAAAAAATAGCTCGGCTCGGTATTTTGACAGTGACGGACGTAAAAGACCTACGTGGACAGTGATGAGCGGAGTGGAACAGTTCTCATTGGTTAGCATGACAGACAAGTACTCTGAACAACGTACGTGAGCGGAGTGCTGACGGAGTACATGGAATCTGGGGGTTAGTCGATTTAAAAAAATCCCTGTTGAGGTTTTAGCCTTAGGCAGCAAGAAAATAGAGCCCTGATTGGATAACATTCCAAAACATGTTACTTCCAGACATCACATCAAAATACTTAAAATTAGGCTATATGCTTACTTTCTTGTGTTTATACTGTGGTGCACAAATGCACATATTTAGCTAAAAATGGTTTTTCTGCATCATTTCCTGAACTGGCAGTAGCCAGATTGATATTTGTAGAACCGAGTTGAGTTCTAGGTTATCAATCTGGGATGGCTGCCGTTCAGTCTGTCCGTGAAAAGGAGGGACATTTAAGGCAATACTTCGAGCTGTTTGGGTGACGTGCCAGCTAGTACCAACCCTTCATAGTACGCTTTCAGCCAATCGTAGCAGCAAATCTGGATGTCTCATAAGCTGATAAATCAAACTTTTTCCAAATCCCGTCAGATTTGATCTAATACCGAGTCCATTGCGGTATCTACAGGTGAGTCCTCCAGTGTAGCCATGTTTGTATTGCCCTGCCCAGCAAGGCCCTTCTGTCATCATTCCTACACGCCCTAAAAAACACTGCTTGGCATATCATTGGTCCGACCTGCTGGTGATTCAGAGATGGACGTATTAATGGATTTGTTGTGAGACTGAAAACTCACATCAATCCAGCTTCCAGTGCAAGATTAGCATTTTCCTCCCGTTTCACTAAAGCCAGATTATATTTAGTCCAATTGGTTTAATTTGTTAGGAGAAAAATCCCCCTTAACTACCCAGGCTAGTTGAAATCTGCTCTCTGTTTTAAAATCCTGGAAGAGGATGTCTGGCAATCAGTTTGTGATGTTAAATTCTTGTGCGGTAATGTTTTGGGGCAATAACTTTTTAATCATAATTGAAGTCATAATTTTTTTATCAATTGTTTCATTTTCTCTCACGTGGACTTATTCACAAACCTGTCCTGACAAAGAAGTTTGCAATTGCTTGATCTAATGAATTTTCTTTATTTATTTTTTTATAGCTGGGGCTTCACGGTTTACACAGATAAGCATCAGTGGTGAGTCCCATACACAATCTATTCTGTGAATCAGCTTGAATCTCTGAGTTTTATTAGTGTGAAATCCTGGGAGCTACATAACTGGGTGGGTTAATTTAAAAGCTCTTCATGAACTACTACCAGTCATAAACTTGGAAACACTATTTTTTCACTCAGTTGAATAGGAAAGTGTTTTTAGACTTTAAGCCAGTTGTTTAAAATGGTTCATATATGAATAAGCTTGTTGAGGGGATAAATAATGATAGTAAGATAGGTAATCAGTCAAAGTTTCAATTAATCAGAATATAAATCCAGTTACCTACTATTGTTTCTCAGTTTTATGAGCTCTATTTTGTAAATATGTTTCTTTAATCAATTTTTTTTGTCTAATTCCTTTCACCTCTCTGTTGAACAGAGCAGACACAGTAATGCAGGATAAAACATGTTATTAGTTAATCTTAAAAAAAAAGCTGCAGAGATGCCTATTTTAAATATCTGGTAGACAGCAGAGAAGATACGGTTTCTTTTGCTAAATCAGGCATTACTTTAATTTCAAAAGCTTTTGAAAAAAATTTAAAAATCTGGAATATTTTAGGCTCTGGGAGAAGAATGAAATAGTTACAGATTGTGATATGAGGTATACCAAGGATTTTAAAAGTTATGCTTTCAAAACCTCTGAAATCTACCACGGAGAGAAATGTGTTTCCTCTCCATGTGTATTTCCCTCTCCTGTATCAGGGTTGTTTTCTGGAGCCATTGTTATTATCCTGCATTTCCATGTAATTTCTAAAAGTAAAAAACAGAAACATTCCCGTTCCATTCAGGAAGATCATGAATCATTCCAATTTGATGTATTTCTATTCCAATTTAGTCACACCAGCTGAGGCTTGTTCATACAATCATCATCTGTTTATAATTATTAGTTTCAAAAGCTTAAAATAAAAAAAATTGTAACCCCCAAGCTGTTGCTTTATGTATAGACACATAAACATAGATATATGCTGTATGTATAGACATACAGTATATATCTATGAATATTACAGTGTTCTTCTGACTTTGAAGTAATTTTAATGCAGTTTTGGCATTTAAAACATTGTAAAATGATCCCAAGTTTATGGATACAATACAGGGATTTAATTCCTACCTGATTAATCTCTCCTCCTGTCTCAGCACCATAAATAGTTTTATGGTAAAAGTCCTTAAAAATCAGTTACAACTTTCACAGACTTGGTAGTTTCTCCATAATTTATATAGCATTGTCCCTGATAAAATAATCTGCTATAAACCTTAATCTGAGTAGGCACTACTAAGCATAAATCGTCTTGTTTTGAACTCCTGGAAATGGACATATTTAAATGTTGTTCCCAATATCTATGACAAATATAATTGGAAGGTTTTAGATGTAGCCTCCTGTTGCCATTGTAATTGTTAAAAAAAAATTGTTTTGATCCCTTTTTTTTTTTTAAATACATGATTTTTGTTCTGTCCTGTATCATAGAATTGATGGGACAAATGTTTTTTTTATACAAGCTTGAAATCCGGCGCTTTCACATATTTTTGTTTTTAATATTATTATTTGTCTCATTTAGATACAGTGTGAATCACATATCCACATCTGGGCTGTCAGGTTGATAAATTAGTCAGTAGGATGACTTCTAATGATAGCGAATTCTCTTCTTGCCAAGTCCATTTACGATAATACCTGAGGTGTCCCCTCTGAAGACATAATGTGCAGCGACGTGTAGAAAATAGGTGAATGTCTATGAGTGATGTGACCGAGTTTTTCCCCTGCAGGCACTTCTGTTGTGACAGGAGGGAGACGCAGATCAGCTGGGTTGCAGACATCATCGCTCTGAAGGTAAAGCCTAATACAGCTGAAAACATGAAGAACTTTTCTAATTTAAAAGCTTTGATGAACATATTTCTTAATATTTTTTTATCAAAATTATGCAAATAGTCACTTTATTTTTTAAGATGCATTGCTGAAAGAATTTCCTTCTTAAGGATGTTTCAATACCACAGTTCATTCATTGTAGCTTTATTATACAGAGTTTTAGGATAGAAGTGAACCCAAACAATGATGCGATCATGTCGCTTCATTGTCAGCATGACATAAACTCATGTCTGCCCTTATTTTTTCTCATGCTTACTGGAGTGGAAGGATAATGTCCTCAATAATCCCACTTACTTGCTGACTTTCGTTTCAATGAACTCTGCAGTGGTGGCAGAGATTCCTTAAAGATTTTCTTTCCATTTTGACATGAAAGCCTTACATAGCTCATGCAGATTTGTCTGCCATGAATCCATGATGTTAACCTTCAGTTGAACTACATCTCAAAGATGGTCTTTTGACTTGCGTCTGGTGGTTGTGGAAGCCTTTGGAGTAGTGTGAAACCATTGTCATGTTCGAGTAACCACCCTTAGATGATTTGAGGTCTACAAGAGGTTGCATCATCCTGGTAGAAGTAGGACAACCACACATCCCACCCTCAAGTAGGCTGAACAGTTGAAGTTGAGACAAGGGAGGATGGATTCTCACTTTTATCTCATTTATCCCATTTTCTAATCCTCACATCTGAATGTTGATGCTAAAGCCAGTTTATGGACCTTATTCAATATTTTTAGTCTTCTATTGTTATGTTTTGTCAAGACTCTGTGCATTGTGGGTTCAGTATCTTGTTTTTAGCTAGCAAAAATATGACCAGATGGAGTCTGATTCTGTAGTCTACCTGCTTGAAGGTATCATATGATTTGTGCTCAGATATTGCATTTAATATACTCTTATTGTAAGAAGTAATTATTTTGATCTTTGTACACAAAAATGTAAATTTGTGTGATTTAAATCTTCTGCCTGACTTTTCTCTTTAAGTCCAGCCGATGGTTGGGGATGATCAGTGGTTTCTGAGATACACTCAGCCCAACTACTGTAGCTCCAGTAAATACATCACCTTCCAAGTTGTTAAGCTCTCATTTCCAACCTTATTATGGTAATCTTCTGTCATCTTTACTCTGTATTGAAGCCTAAATACATTACTTAGCTGAAATGTGAAGGGCTGATTCCCTATTTATGTTGATGAGGAACTGAAGGTGCACATAATAGACGCCAATGAGTTAATTTTGGTAGAGTATTTTCAACTAAGAGCTCTTCTCTGGTGATAAAGTGGGGCAAAAAAGTATTTAGTCAGCCACTGATCGAGAGAGGTCTGAAATTATCATCATAGGTGCACTTCTCTATGAGAGAAAGAATAGGGGAAAAATACAGAAAATTATATTACTTTTTTTGATTTTTGAAGAAGATATTTGTACAATTTTTTTGAAAATGAGTATTTGGTGAATAACAAACTTTAAACTAAATAGTTTGTCCATTTAGCCCAAATTTAGTTGACAATGACAGAGGTCAAATGTTTCGAGGTAAGTCTTCACTAAAGGCCTGTACCATGACGCAGGATTACTGGGTTAGCTAGACAACTTTGGGTGACACCCTGACTTTCCGGTACCATGAAGCTGGATTCATTCTTAGCGAGGCTAGTTACCATCGTGGCGTATTCTGGCATCATATTTTGCTCACCGTACTCTTGATTATTTTGACCCCACAGTAGGACATCTTGTTTGAACCCCAGATCATGGGGGATTATTATTAGATCTTCTGTTTTCCATTTTCTTACCATTAATCCCATAGATGATTTACTGTATATATACCACTGTGCTCGGCTATTGTAGATGCACTCTTCCCACCGTGATGTTTATCTACAGTTTCCTTCCTGGTGTCCTTAAGTAAAAAAACATAATATGTAAAGGTAATAAGAGAGGACTGCAGAGCTTCTTAAAGAAGTTGCAGGTCTGTGAGGGAGTCAGGCGTCTTTCATCTTTGTTGGAGTGCAAATTTATTTTCCCAACACAATTTACAAATAAATTCTTTGAATTCCTACAATAAATTTCTTGTTTGTTTTTTTTTTTATATTTTTTTTCATATTTAAATACTCTTTATATTTTAAGTTTACCTACTGTATGATGGAAATTACAAATCTTTTATCTTTATTAGTAGAACTTGCACAATCTGTGCCCTGATAAATACCCACTGTATGTATGAAAGGAAATAGCTAAGGGCTTTTAATGACTGTGAATTGGATTAGGCAAAAAAAAAAAAAAACAGAAGTCACTTCCTGTAATAATTTGACAACAGTGTGGGCCATCTTTAAAGAAACTGAAACAGAAAAATTGGGTAAAATTTAAGTCTCTTTGAAAAGCTCTTGACCATGGCTGTGTGCTTCTCTTCTTTTGGATGAAAACACCTTTGCTGGCTAAATAAATCCATTTTTACTGTCCAACATTTTAGAACTAGAAAGTATTAATGAATAACTCAGATGTTACCCCAATCAGCAATTTCTATAATACTGTAAAGGCAGATTAAACACATAAAGCATGGAGAGGACTGTGAAGTTTTTCGAGGTCACTTCACAATGTCATAAATCACTTTATGTGGAAAAGCTGTGAAAATAAGGTCAAGGCGACTGTAGCAATCACATTGTGGTGCTTAGCCCCCAGACAGAGCGCTGTGTTGTCACCGTCAGTCGCTGACACAGCACATATTACATAAATAATGCAGGCCAAAGCAAACACAAGTAGAGCAGTTATGGATTTCGCATATCCTTGGAATATTTTTTTCTCCCTATCACTCATTCCTACTATCCTTTTTTTAATCTTTTTTCTCATTAAAATAAATGAGTTTATTTTCTGGTCATTTTCAATATAAATAACTAGAGCTGTTTTTGTCTGCTCAGCACATTAAATCAGTATTGGCACTCTTGTATGGGAATCTGTCTGCGGTCAGTGCTGCTTATCAAGGGTACTTACTGTAAAAGCCTTTTAGTGCTTTAGTTTGGGTTAGCAAGTAAAAAGGGCAACACTGTCAAGGGAGATTGATCTAAAGGGAAAGGCAGTATTTGTTTTGAAGGTGTTTATTTCAGTGCACTCTTTTCTTGATCTCTGGAGATGCTTTTAGCTCTCCAACAGCTAAATCTATAGCAGTCTGGAGCTGGCTAAAAAGTATTATCCTTCTCCTCATAAATCCTCTAAACATTAGGATTGTCGGCTTCCAACAGAGACGCTTTCGGTGGAAGGACACAGGACCTGCTCGAAGGACAAAGAGAATTGTGTGGACCAGAAAGTAAGACAGGGGCTTCAGGTTCTCTTGATTTCCATTACCTGTTAGCAAGCGCTGTACTTTCACAGTTTCCATAGCAACCAGTGATGAAGGATTTTACTCTACAGTAAGGTGTAATGAGTGATGGCGGTGATGAGGGCAGGTAGGACGGTTGAAAGGTCAAAAAATGTATGTAATAAAGATTTGTTAAGGAGGCACAGCTCTGGTAGTCCAAATGGGTTGTAGCAGGTTTTTTTTTTTTTTTTTTAAAGGGGGACATTGTTAAAATTGCAGATAATTCAGAGATCAGAACTCAGTTGAACTTCTGCTGTAGGACAAAAATTCATCATTTATAAAGACTTTGAATCTTCATTTGGAGTACAGGGTTTCCTCAATAAGTTCTAGAGCAAAGTACATCTATCTTCGAAAAGGTAATGCCTCTATATTGTGTATTTATTAGTTGTATTCTGATATCTTTCAAGCTTATTTTGGTTCCTTTGGGTGAACATGGCCTAGAACCCAGAAAATCCCAAATTCCAGTTCCTTAAAACTAACATTTCAGTTACATATTGACATTAAATCAATAAAAGCTGGATCATTTTCTTATGCAGTCATAGGAAAGAGTTGTTCTCCA